GGGAGGAGATATTCATCCTTTCGAGGTACACATGAGTATTTCAGTGAGTCTCTCTCCAAATGGCACCCACAATGACCGGCTATGACCACTCTGTTCACCTTTCTATCTCCAAAACCCTTCAGGGTCGGCTCTCCTCTCGGCTTCGCAAAAACCTCCACCGGTCGACCGTTCGGTTTGCTTCTCGCACCAGGACCCCCGGACGATGGTACCACCTCGAGAAGAACCAAAGGCAGGCGTCACCTCGAGAGGGTCGAGAGGGTCGACCGGTCTGCGCCCTGGAGCGTTCTGGACCGATCGATGGACGAAGACATGGGACGTGACACCGTCGGGACGGGGTCAAGAGGACGGGGAGGTTGGGCGGCTGGTTTGGAAGGCTGCATTGAATTCTCTTCAGGGCGGTGGACATCAGGATCAACATGATAAACATGCAACTGCCATGAACTGCCTATACCCTAGCCTTCAAAGACCCTGTTAAACATGGTTGACCTGCATGGCTTTAAAGTGTATATATAAACATGTCAGTAAAACAGTGGCTGCTCGGTAACGCATGGTAAAGCCTGTTTAAAAAATGGTGGTTGGACACCTGAGGTCTATAACTTAGAGTGTTTATTGCTATCTCCAGAGCATCACATCCCATAGATCACTGGACTAGTTTGCTGCTCTTGGAGTGGGGGGCTTTCATCAGTACGGGGGTGAATGCGAATGATCTTCGTCCCCAGAAAAAGGAAAAAAAACATTACACGGTTGCCTTGGCGACGGTCGGCGTGATGTAGTAGGTGAAGCCTCAGACATCATGGGCATCCGAAATGCATGATGCGGAGAGCGACAAAGTGTATGATTCGTGGCTTACGATAGATATCATCTGTAGCGTTTTTGGTAGCTTGCTATGTTGACATTGATTCGTTTGCTTGACAAGTGCCTTCAATCCACTCTGAAGAACGTGGAGAACTCTGTGCTCCAACGGATTTGTGACTAAGCTCAATGTGAGGCCATGACGCCTTGACTTGATGCACCAAACGAGCTGAAGCTCGGCCCTTCTTGGCTCAGCTCGGCACGTACAGGCTCACCATTGGGACCGATTTGTACACGGTTCTGTCCATCGGCAGAGAGGGTGAACCTGGCATGTCAATGTCAAGAACCACTCCATGTACTGTAAAAGAAACCCAAAAGCTCCGTTCACAGCCCTCAAAACCCAGGGATTGGTTCGACCCCAGACACTCTATAGGTTCGGGTCCAGGAGCGCGTCTGGGCCCAACTGATGGGCATCTCTGGCGGCTCCATGAGCCCCGGAGAGGCGGGGTGCACCACCGGAGGTCGCGAAACATGCCAAGAAGGACTCCACCACTCCAGGCTTGTTGAAAGGTGGAGAAGTGCAGGTGGCCTGTGTTCAAGGCAGGCGATGCCAGGGTCGAGGAATCTCCCAAATCCAAACGACACAGGCAATAGCAGCTTTGTACGTGAATATCACTGAACGTGGATAAAGTATGAATATATATACCTTGAGTCTCCAAAGACCTTTTTTTTCTGCGTTTTTGTTTCGGGTCTAGTATTTTTGCGTTTTTGCTCGAAAAACGCGTTTTTAGAGATGAGGACTCAAAAAAAGGTGCAGAGTGAATCTTCATCCGGACGCGTCCGACACGGACGCTTAAAGATGCCTTTTGGGCGCAAAAAGACGCGTTTTGGACGCCGAAAAAAGGTCTCAGGACACTGTCTAAGGAGGATCTGACAGGGCACAAACAAAAAAGGAACATTTCGTGATATATGCCAAAAAAAGTGCTTTCTTTCAAAAACCTCTTTTTCTTGGAAAGGCAAATTAAAAAGGGTCATTGGAGACTCAAGGTATATGATAAAGTCACAGTACCTGCTTGTGAAAGTCCATCCGTCAAACAGCTTTTTGGTGCTTTCAGTTCTTTTTGCCATTCATCCAAACCACGGACTACAGTGAACACTCTAAGTCAGCTACACCCAGAAACTCAGTGATCCTACTTCACTCTTCATCATCCCTCATTGGGTGACCCAGACGCACCCCCATGGAGTATATAAGTAGGGCCTTCTAAACCGCGAGCCGTCCTTGGGGACGGCTCGTTCGTCCTTTCGCGAGAAAAACCGCCTCATTCTGCGTGACCATGAAGAGGGAAACCTGGATATTTCCGAAGAGGCACTTGATGTTCTTGGAGTTCAGGAGGGGAACATCCTCAGCTTGCACAGTGGGGCCACCATGGTTGGTATGAAAGGATGACAGGTCTCTTTGCAGAATGATGGAGCAATGCCAAGAAAAACTGTGCTTTATGTTTTCTTATAGTTGGAGGCCATCACTATTAGGTTGGAGGCCATCGCTATAGTCGGTTGGAGGCCATCACTGAAGTGAAGACAGCTATTTTTTGGTTCAGTGTTCAGTTTCAGGATGGCAAACGCGATATTCAGCCTATTGATGTGGAGACGGCCTTTTCCACCCTTCAGCTATATTTATAGCCATTGTCTCTTAAGAGATCTTCATAAGTCCTTCACTCATCCCTGGCCTCGAACAAAAAAACACACTACACTCACCCTGGTCCCTATCGATCCCCAGTCCATCGGATGGCGTCACCAAAAAGTAAACAAACACCTGCTGCCACGGGGCGGAACGTAGCGAGACCAAGGTGTTCCCGAATTCCGGGCCACTGAGAGGTTCCACCTCAGAGACCCCTTGGTTCCACACGTGGACGTGCACCGTGGTGGCCGGTGGCGTTTGGGAATGACGATCGATGGAAGGTGCACCGGCCACCAGATCGAGCTCCTTTGATGTCCCACCTCCTGTTTGATGGTTCCGGGCACTCTCCTGAAAAAAAGGGATGTTGGAAGGGAAAGGAAGGGAAAGGACGGGAAAGGAAGGGATGTTGTTTGGATGTTTTTGGGTTAATCGTCATGTCTTGGTATTGTGTGTGCTTCCATGTGCTTCCCATACTGCTTAGACAGTTGGAAACACCATCCGCGCATCACGAGCTTGAACGCATTTCCTTCAGAAGACCCCCAAACAACATGGTGACTCTGAAAGGAACCCCCAAACCAAACCAGAATCGACTCCTCACAGTGTCTGATGTATACAGTGTCTGACGTCTGAACTGGGAACCGCCACATGTGAGCGGCGACAGTTGTTGCTAAACTCCGGCCATCACGATCTATTCTGTGGGGGGTGAGACTACTCCTTTAGACTACTACTAGTAGGAGGTCATCTAGGAGGCATCTCATTCAGACTGCTGATGGCAGATCTCGGTATCTCGTTCAGACTTTTTTAGTGTCACCGACAAAAAGTATCTTGTTTAATATGGGGGCGTATCTCATTTCACCAGCGACTACTGATGTTGGACCAACAAATAGAGCATGCCGTAGACTACTTTAGCCAAGACTAAAAGTGGTTCCTCATGTGGCAGCAGGAACGACCGGGCAGCTTCCGTCATCCTTTGACTGGATTCATGACCAAAGACCAAAGGTCAATATATATACAGTCGGAAGCAATTCTAATCAATTCACGATCCAACTGCAAGAAACATCAACAATGATTTTCCAGCAGTCTACAGTGATGGACAAACAGATAGAATCCAAAAATATGCTAGGGTACAGTTAGAATATAAATTTACCCTAAGACCCTGTTGGTCCGCCATAGTAGTCGCTATAATAGTTCTTTCTCAGCGCAGCACAAACATAGTGCGATCATCGAGTGATCCAGTGCACTGCTCACCGGGGCTCACGGTCTTCTCTTCAGCCAGGATTTCAGTCAATTCTAGACCCAAAGAACTGGTCAAATCACTGCCAGGTCACCTGCCACTTCAAATTCGCCATTTCGGAGACCCTTTTGGAGAACGAACCGTGCTCTCGGTGTACCGTTGGCCCACGCGCACTACATCGATCGTCTCAGGTGCCCCGGACCCAGGAGATGCTTGGCACGAAGCGGCGGTAGTAGAAGGTGAGCTGCGTCAAAGGCTGTTGGTTGGAGGCCTCGGACGACGCGACGAGGCCCGAGGCCGTTTCGAAGACATGAGCTCTCATTGTGAGGAGACAGCAGCTAGGACAGCAGCTTGTGTCAGGCGTGAGATAGATGAGAGAAGTGAGATATCTCCGACCAACACCGGAACTCGCCCCTTCATGTGTTGAGAAGAAAGAAGACATTGAGAGGACCAGGAGCAACCAAACCCCTAGAAAAGACACTTATACATGTTTCGTCATTTTTCTAGGTTTTGGATGGTCTTGGGAGTTCTAAATGGATGAACTGGTATCAAAAAATGGACCTGTCAGCTGTCAGTTCTGCATCGAGCGGGAACTGAGGTCTGCGGCCGGCGTCGTACCCTTCACCATGGGAGCCGTAGGAATGGTCTGGGAGCATCGCAGAAGCGCGTGCCGCATGGACCGGAGACCATGCGAAAAGCACCACATGTAGAGTGTTTAGATTTGTTTGGTGGCATGTTGTGGCCTTTTAATTGAAAGTCTGAGTGGTGGTCCAAATATCAGAAGTTCAAAGCAAAAAGCCAGTGCAGCACGTGTCACTAGTCAAACAGTCGTGTTACAATCTGTCTAATGAATCGAACAGGCATAGTGTTAGATGGCCCTGATCCCTTTACATCCTTTACTGTGTCAAAGCTTAATCAAACACTGAACAATTCCCCACCACTTGCGAACATGCTGCAAAAAAGGAGGACTATAGAGAATCTACTGTACTCTGTTGCTTTGCCTTCAAACATTGGCTCAGCTTCGCCTTCATCTCCATTTCATCTCCCCATCGCCAATGGAACATGGGCTGTCAAGCATGATGCCCATGTTTTATGTCACTAGCTAGGGCTGTCAGGATGGGATCCGATGCTTGGAGCATGAGACCTAAGAAGGCTGACTGCTTCTGCGGTCGCCGCGTCACTGCGTCCGATGTCTGTTCGTCGCCCATCGCCCATCCGTGGCGGGGATGGAGCGTCGCCGCCAGCGTCGCGGGGCGTCGCCGTCGCCGATGGCGGGACACTTCCCCCGCCTGCACATCAAAGGAGGCCAAGTGTCCCGTCGGAGAAAAAAGCGCCGTCCACGGGTGGCGAGGTGCCTCGAAGGGGCGGATGGGGGGCGGAGGTAGGTCACCTGGTTTCTGGGGAGGAAAAGACACACATCTGAAAAGAAACTAGGGAACATGAATGAAATCAAATAATGTAGGCCGAAACTAGAACGCCAAGTCATAGTCTTTATATATAATATTAATATATATATATATAAACTATATATTACAATAAGAAACCAGGCAGGGAGTGTTGACTTTGTCAAGGTCATGAATCGATCGTGTTCGCCCGAGCCCCCGGCAATGAAGCTCTGTGTCGGAGATCACCAACGCCTGAGAATCAGGGGCATCACCCTAGCAAGGAATGTATTGGCCAGTGATAGCAAAACGTTGATCCGAAAAAAAGACAGGTGTAAACGAATTAGTGATATTGTACTGCAGATTATACCAACAGTTCCAAAGGGCTTGCCTTTAGTCCCATCCAATGGATGTTCTTGGCATCTTAGAGCCCATCCAATAGGCATGCCCACATTGACCTCCTGGTGTAGGACATTTTGGACATCCTGGTACAGATTCACTATATATAATATAATAATATATATATATATATATGAACACTACTGGTACAGCGTCGTTTTTTTCCATGATAAACGTGCCCTGGTGGTCCAAACAACAGCTTGTACTCTAGCGGTAGGTCTCTCGCTTCTCTCTTCTCCACACATGACCATCTCTCAACCACATGAGCCACGACACAGCTTCGTCAAAAATAGACCTCATTCGGAAGGAGTAAACCTCGGCGATGCCCTTTTGAAGGGTCTTTGACGGGGGACAAAAAGCCGGTCCCCACTTCAGCAAGTCGAAAAAAAAGGAAACAACAACGCCACGTCCTCCGTCCCGGACATGGCCAGAATCCGCAGCAGTAGCTGCCTCCTTCACAAGTTTTGTGACCCCGCCAATGCATCGAACCCGGAAACCTTGGGCTCATCGGACCCCACCTGGCTGGTGCGAGAACCAAAGACACATTGGAGGATGATCTCCTCACGAGACGGATGACGTCGCCGCACGGGAGTTGGTGAGGCGTCGTGGAAGAGACGGAAAGACGGTGTTGCACGAGGCAAGCGTTAAGAGGGCGATCTATGAATCACCAAGCTGTACAAAGAACTAAGAAGGCAAACACCAAGAGGTAAGTAGCATGTTGCAAAGACAAGCAGCTACAAACAAAGTTTAACAGTTTGCGTCTTAGTCATCTCCTTGGGTGTCATCAACGAAATGGCAATGGACGACAGCAGGGCACCCAAATTCCATTCAAGTTCACAGTCTTGGGATGTCTCCTGACTTATCTTGCAGAGTGATGTCTCCATTTAAACAGAGTGACATCTCCCTTTAACACATTAAGGACAGGTATGGTTCAAGCACCTGTAGGATATACCTGGATCTTACAACTATGCCACATTGCAGCCTTTTGGCTGATGTTCATAGATGAAAAAGGCAAACATTTTGCACAGTTGGAAGATCCAGGTATACTTCCAGGTAATTATGTTATATATACATATTATCCCTGCAAGTCCAAAGACCCAGTAGAACCTGCTTTTTTACCTTCTTATTGGTTTTGTATGACAATCTCCAGTAAAATGATGTCTTTGACTTGCAGTGTTTTCTGGCTTCAATGTCTTAATTTGTTCCCTTGCACTTCACTTCTCCCAAAGTCATCCAACCCCGAGAGAGTGAGTGACGCGCTCCTGGCCATTTGGCCTGAAATGATGGCCATAGGCTCGTACGATGGTGCCGCCTACCGTCTCGCCGCTCGCAGTTTTCTCACCGCCCACTCTTCACGTCGCGGTGAACTTCGTCTTCGGCTACCAAGCAAAAACCCGAATCAAAACACATATGACTTTCAAGTTTAAGAGATAGCTTAAGGTTCAATCAGTTCAACGACGTTAAACGACGTTCAATGCTTTTCACTGAGTGGGTTGACCTGCTGACACATCGCGCCTTTCTTTAAGCAGAAAGCCGGTCAGATCAGGTCCGATCTGAAGCTCCCAAAGAAGGGGAACATGACTAAAAATCCATCCGGTTCTCTTGAGCTTGGTTTGTTTCAACATGTTTCAAGCGTTTTCTTCTGGAGCTTGGTTTGTTACATGTTTTGATTGGTGTGGGAGCTGCATCCGACTCCACCCATGCTCCGCCGCTGCCTTCAACTGGGCCTTCATTGGGCTCCACCGTGTGTGCATAAGGATACGCCACCTGATTGGGAGCACCCTTTCAAGCAAAGCAAGCGAGACTAGGGGGGCACATGTGATCATATATAGGATGTTTCCAAACATGGTCTCTTGAAACATCTTGAAACCACCAAACACCCGGTTCTTCTGCTTCTTTCGTTTTGCAAGGGCCCGGAGAAAAGGCATAGAATGAGAAAAAATCGACTATGACTATAATAATCCAAACCGCTCCTCACCTTCCGCTCCAACCTCTAAGGTTTTGACAAAAGTCACATAGGCAGATGGTCTTCGCGAAGTGCCAACACCATTGGAGGACAATCGTACCAGCACACCTGGCTCAGGCCGAGAGCGAGAAAGTGGTCGCTCTGACAACGGGGATGAAACATGAACGATGTGTGGCTGAAAACACACATACGCCAGGTGTGAACAGGCGATATGCTTTTCCCCGGTCTTCCAAGGAATCTGTCTCTGGGGCGTCCAAATCATTCAACGTCTCTTTGAGGTCTGAACAAGATTGTTAAAGATCCTGCGGTCTTTAAGGATCTTTGAGGTCTAAACGAAAAGGCATCGGCATCTAATTCCCCCAATTCCCCTTCCCCCGCTCCTTCCTTCCCTCCGTCGCTCCTCTCGAACCCACGTGTCCGCTCCTGACCGCACTGGACTGCCGAGCCCGTGCCAAGTGATGCACTCCGCGCGACCGCGGCAGCTCCGCTCAGGGTCCCCCCACGTTCCGAGACGGCACCCAGGGGCTGGATCTCCCAGTGGGGCGTAGTGCCTTGGAGACTCTAAGGGACGAAAAGGACGGTGGTTTTACAAGAACAGTTCGAAAGATGTGTAGAGATGATATGTATATGTTTATTTTTACAATTTATTCTAGATTTACAGAGTATTTTTCAGGTACTTGAACTTGAGAAAGACATGATGTGTACATCACGTTTCAGGATGCTGGAACGTAGATGCTGGAGCGTACAAGCAGAACTAGAACAAACAAAACCGCTAAGAAGAATTTGTGGAGCAACATCATAGCTGATCTGTTTGCACCAGTCTTCCATAAGAACCGTGTGGATATGATTGAACCACTCCAACATGCTTACATGGTCCGTACCCATCCATGGTCCGTAACCGAGATGATCCAGGTTGGGATTCTTAGTTCATCGCTCCCTGAGCCTTCAGCTCTTCACATCCGCCATGACTGCATTGCACAGTGGCTCATCAGCAACCAAATCCATCAGTACACATCATCACAGACCTGGTCACTCTTCGTCACAGCATGCTGCGCCCCATTGACCCCCCCCCGTTCACCGCCCCACTCCCCTACCACCGGGCGTCCGGGCAAACCACTTCTCGTTCGCTGGCCAAGGAGGCCAATGGCACCTCACCATGGCCGGACACGTGGGGGTCATGCCATGTTGCTTGGTTATACATATATACATGTATAATATATATATATATATATTATATATGTATACGTATCCGTCTTTCGCGTCCTTGCTCCGTTCGTAGCGATGCCAGGAGCCCCTTGTAGCTTCCTTGCTCCGTTCGAGTCGCGATGCCCGACATGCTCCGTTCGTCACGTTCTTGTTCCTAGTAGCGATGCCCTTTGCTCCTAGTAGTAAGGCCGTTTGTTCCTAGTAGCTTCTTGTTACTACTTAGTAAGGCACTTGTTACTAGTAGCTTCTTGTCCGTTTGTTTGCTGTCAGGGGCAAGCCCCTGAAGCATCGATGGACATGGTACGACACACCCTGGATGATCGGCGAAGTTGCGGTAGGTGTTCATGGCTCCGAAGGTTCAAAAAACAGCGGTTGGAAGGGAAAAGGACGGTCGGTGTTCTTGGCTTTTGGCCACAAGAAGATCAGTGCTTGTTCCCTCCCAAAAGGAGCTATATGGAGTGTCTTAATATGTCTTAATTATTAACCATATAACCCCCCCATTTGCCTGGTAACATTTCACATCTGGGGGCTTTATTCATCACAAGAGTAACCCTTTGCGGGCCAATCCAAACCTTTCATTCTATACCAAACAGGGAAACAAACGTCGACGTGCCCCAAAGCAACGGCCGTTTCGCCACGTACGGAGCCACGTTCCAACCAACGCTTTCGTTCCGGCACCTCCACCGCACGCTCATCCTCGCCAAAGATGCAATAGCGGACATCGGCGCCCAGGTTGGAGCCTGACCGCGTCACGGAACGGCGTAACGGCGCCCAGGTTTGACGAGATCTGGACGTTCTACGAGTGTCAGCAGTGAAGCTATATGCTCCCAAACTCAAATTTGAAGCCATGTTCCGCAATGGGTTTGTAACGAATGGTGTATTTATCATTATAGCTGGAAAGGGCACATTGACTTGCCCCTCAAAGACGGCGTCTTTGGTTCGGCGGACAGTGGCACATGTTGTGGTAGCGAGGTGAGACACCAACAAAACATACTGTTTTGAGGCGTCCAAACGGCATCTTTCCGCGTCCCTTCATCTTAGACACATGTTTGCTACCGAAACTGCATGCCTAGGGCGTACGCAGCAACAAAATGACCCCAACAAAAATTTAGGCCGTTGGAAGATCCAGGTATCATATTTCATGGGGACCCCTAAAGGAGGAAGTACCAACATGGATTCCGGCTTGCCATAGGCTTCAGGCACTACCAGTAATTCTTGGTAATTAGTTGGGAGGATCAACAGAACATCATCTTCTTGGCCCCAAGCCCGCAGGGACCGCACCACGACCGCACCGCAACCGCACCGCTCCTGCCACGGTGAGTGGTAGATGGCCCAAAGCCGAGACATTCGCCGGTTCGACCTGGCGAAGAAGGCTGAGGGAGCGGCCTGGAAGATCCAACTTGATGGTTTACCCTTCAGCTGATAGGTCTCTGATAGGTTTGTATACATGCCAAGTCTTCCAACTATGCAACATGTCTGCTTTTTCATGTATAATGGTTTAAATACATGAAACGGCAGTGGAAAACCACAACAGAAGGCAAACATGTTGCATAGTTGGAAGATCTATAGGTATAGGTGCCAGTCTTCCTGATGGACCACCACACTTGGCCTTGCCAGATCGGACTTCTGCTTGGGCAAATCTTGGGAAAATGTGAGATGGCAAAGGCATAGTGGCCAACATCACCCAAAAGGTGGTTGTTGGAAAGAAAATTTAATAGCGAAAGGTCAAAACACAACCCTTTCCGCTGCATAGATAGACTCGCTTTTACTCGACCCAAGGCGCCTGCGGATCATTCGAAAAACTTCACTCCGGTCACCTTTTGTTAGGTGCCTGTGGCTCTCACCTCGTGCAATGCAAGCACTTGGTGTATGCCTTTGCTAGGCTGCTCAAATGGTGGCAGCCTTCACTGTGGTACTTTGTACCATTGCCGGTGTTGTACACCCTCTCAGGAAACTTCTCCTTCTCCAATTGGATCACCGCTGACTGTGGTGTCGTCGGACTCGGAATTGGTGCCAGTGATCTAGTCATCTTGGCTTCTCGCTCGGCCTCCACCAATCTCTTCTCGAGATCTTTGTTGCGCTTCTCAGCCAAATCGTAGGCCTTCTTCATGCCATCAAGTCTGTCCTTCTCTGTCTGCAATTGGTTCTCTAAGGTCTCGATCCTGTTGCGCAGGTCCACCTGCTTGTTGTACTCCTCGTAGAGCATCGACCGATGTTTGTCTCGGTCTTCTCGAGCATCATCTCTCTCCGTCTTGGCCGCGTCAAGATCGTCTTTGGCGTCTTGGTATCGTCGATACCAATCATCAGCTGAAGTCTTGTTCTGTTCTTTGCTTCGCTGCAGCTTTTCGGTCAAGTCCTCATAGCTTGCAATCTTGTCCTTCAGCTTCTCGATGTCTTGCTCTTTTGTCAACTCCCTTGCTCGCTTGCGATTCTTGCTGCTTGCTTCGAAGTCCACCTCCATGGCATCGTCACTCGATGGTTCTTCTTTCACCATCACCTTTGGCTTTGACTCCTTCTTCTTCAGGATGTAGTGCATCACCAACTGCACTGCCATGGCCACCACAATGGTGTAAAGGATCAGCATGTAGATGCTCCACATCTCGCTGTCCTCTTCTGTTGGAGCGCGATCAAATTCGTGAGCTTGAGCCGCGCTAGACATTGCGAGCATGACCATCATGAGCTTGTTCTTTGTGATCAACCCGAGGAGGAAGGTGGCGAAAGAGACTTTAGCTTTCTCCCCAAACTTCTCATAGATCTCCTTGTCGTCTTTCTGGAGGTCGTTCTCGCTGAAGTCTCTTGCCGTTGGAAGGACTCTGAAAATGATTGGATGGTCTTTCACCCCATACATTTTGACTAACCCTGTGGAAAGCAAAAGATACATGCTGTCATGTTCAAGACTCTTCGTTAACGAATCGGCCAGCATGCATTGTGTGGGAATGAGTGCCACCATTCTGATTCTTCCGTCCAACCTAGCTTCCTTCACTGCCAAAACATACAGTCTTTGGGTTTTGTCTTGTGGAAGTGTCTTCGTGCCGGTCACGAGTTCGAAAACATCTCTTGCATCACAGTACATGTCCATGGGCAAACATGCATTGCCTTGTGACTGAATTGCTATCAGCTGCTGCAAGCTCGGTTTCTTCTCGGAGTGCGTGATCTCGCTGAGTCGGATCATGCAAAGCGTCGCAGCCTCTAGTGCATTCACCATGGCCAGCGTTTCGCCGTGCGATGTACTGTACGAAATGCGTTTCGACTTGGCTCCGTGAGAGTAGAGCACATGCATGACACCGCCATGCTTGTCATCATCTTCTTCTGTAGTGCAGGTGTGATCATAGCTGATCTTCGTGTCTTGCCAGGCATCATCTGTCAAGCAAATGATCACACCTTCTTGTGCATATGATCTGCCCTTGCTCGCTGCAGAGGCGTCATGAATCACTGCAAGTCTCTTGGCCTTGTGCTTGAAGAATCTGTAGTGCAAACCCATGTCTGCATGTTCAACCACTTTCTTCAGCACTTCGTTGGCATTCTTGATGTCTTGCACTTCTGCTTTTGTCACCCTTGATTGCAACAAGGAAACGTCTGCAATCACATCCAGCCGTGTTGCTGTAATCCAAAGTAGAGCTCCAAGGATTGACCTGAGGTCAGAAACTTCTGGAGGATTCAGAGGAGAATCATCTGCTCGATCTGGAACAGCTGCTGGTTTCATGCGTTTCGCAAACTCTTTCTGGCCAATGAAATAGCCATCACCTGTTCTGCTGTACTCACAGCCACAGTGATCGAAAGGTAGCTGCTGCCTGGTGACTTTCTTGAACTTGGTCACGAACTTGTTGTAGATGTCGTTCATGAACTCTGGTGTTGCTGAGATTGCCAAATCATCCACGTGTGTCGTCAGCATGGCAATGGGCTCATTGTTCTCCTTCCATGTCCAACAGTTCTCATCTAGATGTGATGATGTTGCACCCTGTGCCGTGATGAAGTCGTGTAGACAGAACTGCCAAGCCAATGGAGCATCATTGAGTCCATAAATAGGTTTGCAACAAAGCAGTCCGTACTGAGTGTGGTCGTCATAGGGCACTGTGAAGCTTGAGTCCAGCTCCTTGAGATGCCGCCAGACATTTGCCGGTGGATAGACAATGACTGTTCTCTCTGGTGCATTCATGCCACGCTTCATCAATGTTCTTCTGATCCCGTCGAAGTTGAAGCCTTTCAGAAATGCTCCTGCAATGTCCAGAGATTCCAAAGTTCTCTTCTTACATCGTGCTGCATGAGAAACAAGGATGCGCTGACTGAGTCTTGTCGCTGTTGTACTCCATGTGGTCAACTGTGTCTTCTGTGAGTCTAGACAGCCACGAGCACAAAGACGACTCTTGATGCGCAAGGTCTTGTCTGGGTATCGCTTGTATTTCCGTACCCATCTGCAGTCGGTTTCCACCATGTCATTGGTCACCTGACTCTTGTGGATCTTCTTGAATGCCTTCTCATCGACAAACTGCTTGACTTCATTTCTGTCCGCTTCATCGAGCTCCTTCCAAATTGCTGGAGTGATGTCTTCGTCCTCAATGTTGTTGGTCTCTTGATCAACCTTGTAGATCTCGCCCTTGGCATATGCAAAATGGTTCTGCTTGTATTCGATGTGGAAGAGTTCTGGAAGCATCTTCCTTCGTTCATCGTACTGCTTGATGAGGAACTTCCGTGTCGTGGTCATCATGAGGTTGTAGTCATTCTTCCAGTTCTCAGGGAAATCCAATTGCACCAATCTGTCCTTATTCGTGGCGATGAAGTAGTGTCTGAGGAACTCGAGATCTTTCTTCACCAGCATGGTCTTCTGCTTCTTGCGTTCAGGAGCTATAGTAACTGTTCTGCTGTCTGGACCTTCACGCTTCTCACCATGACGCTCAACGTCCATGTCTTCTGGTTCTTGTTCTTCATGATGTGGTGGTGTCACCTGCATAGGTTCCATTGACGTTGTTGGCATCTTTTGTGGTGAGCGTTCCATGTCTTCTGAAATCTTGGTCACATATCGGAAGAGGTACATAATGCAGATGTCTTCTCTGGCGTAGTTGGTGATCTTCTTCATGATCATGTTGTTGTCGCTGTTGTGTTCTTGTATGGCGTAGTTGACTCCGCCATGAATCCATGTGATGAGATGTCCAACTGTGCCTTTTGGTGGTTGAAGATGTCTGAGTGCTTTGCCAAGGATGCAACCGTGACATTCTGACTTGTCCAACATGCTGTAAGCATCTGCTGCCCATTGCATCACCTTGATGGCCGTGTCATTGTCCTTAGGAAGTCTGATCCATCTGTTCATCTTGTCAGTGACCCATCCATGCAGGATCGGCTTGTAGCTGGAGATGGATTCCGTGTACTTCATGATCTTCCTCAAGGATTCTGTCTTGGCTTCGTCGGTGATGTCAACCAGGTAAAGTCCTCTGAATGCACGGATGTGTCTGAGAGAGACTAGGTATGGCTTGCCCTGGTACTGAATCACTGCCACGCCTTCGTCTGCATCCAACCGTAGAAGCAAAGCGGGACCTCGCCAACCAACATCTCCTTTGACCTCTCTGTAGAACTCGATCTCGCTTGTGCCTGGTACAAATTGAGTCAGGTCAAGCTGATGTGGTCGTGTCTTGTTGGCTCTTGCGATGCGGTCCTCGATGACTGCTTGGTGTGATTGTGCCAATGCCGTTTGTCGGATCCTCATGGCTTTTTCAAAGACGGTGAGGTCGGTTTCCAAAGCTCCCGATGCTGCCATCAAACCTGTAGATTCCACCTCGTAGAAGGGTCTTGGTGGAACACCAAAGACATTCATTGCTGGCGTGACTCCTCCATATGACAGCGTCAAATTGTGTGCCATTGCACTTTCTCTGGCGAGTTCACTGAGCTCTGGATTGAGACCTTGTCTTTGTAACTCAGCTCTCAGCTTCAGCATGGTCATCTTGACGAGGGAGACATGTCGTTCAACCAAACCAGTGCCAGGGTGTTGTTCTGCTCCTGGTCCAGCTGTCGTTCCTCTTGGACACCGCTCAACATTCATCCGCTCAAATTCTGCTGCAGTGCTGTGGCCCATGAGACTCTGCTGTTGATCCATGATGAGCTTCTGAGGAGTTCCAAAGTAGTGGAACCAAAGACGGACCATTGCTGCAAGAAGAATCTCTGATTCTTGGCCTTCAACAATGTCTGCAACCTTGTAGCGGGTCGCTTCATCAATCATGAGGATGAACCACTTGTCTTCAAAATGGAAAAGATCAAGCTGCACGGCGTCGCCAAAAGATCGAACTCCAGTCGTCTTGTATTGAGGTCTGTTAGGAAGCCTGACATACTTCCGGCAGATTGCGCAGGAGTTCACCACTTCTGGAACAAGCTGTGTCACTTCTGTTGGCATTCCTGATCTCCTTAAGAGGTTGATGAAGTCAGACATCGGAGAGTGCCACAAACGTTCATGTAGTCCAAGAAGTAGTTGCTTTGCTCTTGCAATGTCTCCTTCTTTGACTGCTTTCGGAAGTCTCTCAAGGACTTTGCGCAGATTGTAGTTGGGCTTGATCGGAGCAATCTCTTGATGTGACTGCGTTGCAAGCTCAGCATCTTCATAAATGGTCTCCACGATGGCGTCTTCTGCCTTTTCATCTGCTGGTCTGTCCATGAGTCTTGGAAGCGATAAAGATTCAGGCTTCGGAGGCATTGGTGGTTCTTCTGGTCGTGTCCTTGGTCTTGAAGCCGGAGTTGATGGTGCTGGAACAGCTGCTGTCTCAACACCATAGATGGTGATCAGCCAATCATCAATGTCGATGGCCTGGTGAATCTGTGAGTGGCTCATCTCTCTGAGATCGTGTACTGGCATGATCTTCCACTCCTTGACATGGCCATAGACATGAAGTCGAAGGTAGGATGACACCATCGTCAACTTGGGTTCTGCTGTTCCATCTGTAAAAGGGCGAAGTGACACCTTAACTCCTTTCACCACCAGCACGCCACCAAAGATCTCCTTGTAGAGGCTCATGTGCACCGGGTCGTCGATCCAGTGCATATATTCTTTCTTCTGTTGAAGAGCTTCATCGAAGAGGCCCAGCGCTGCGTGCACTGTCTCCATGAGAAGCTTCTTGAGGAAATGCATGTCTTCAATGTGGAAGCCACCGTAGGAGGACATGTTCTTGATATCCACTGTATCAAGCACTTCTTTGCGTGTTTCATTCTTCCATCGTGTCAGAGGATCTGCATCAGCTTTCGCCTTTTCTTTTGGACTTTCTCCTAGAGGCCATTTGCCATGTCTGCATTGCCCAGGAATCAGCGAGTGCTCAATGGACTTTGGACATGCTCTGCCAAGTTGACATCGGACACACTCATACATGTGTGTGATGACAGAATGGTAGCAGTCATCTGGCCACTTGCCAATGTCAATCAGATCCTTGTTGTTGAGGTAGCCAATGATGTCGTTCTTCGTGCGTTGGCATAGTGTCTGTGGATAGACTGCCGCCATTGATGTCCGTGAGAGTCCATTAGGTCCAGTGCCTTGTAGATGAGAGTGAGCTCGTCCTTTGTGGCCTGAGCACCTGAGAGCACATCGATTCCATCTCATGTTGCTGCCAAAGCTTGTTGACTTTTTGATGGGATTCTGACATTCATCACAAGCTCCATGCATGCATTGATCAACTCTTTGCTTGCTGCGGTTGCCTTTGATGCGGGACAGCCGCACCGGATTCTCTGGTAGATGTTCTTGCCACATGGCGCTGTTGTGAGGCTGTTCGAGATTGTAGCCTCTGGCTTGTCGATCTTGCTTCTCAAAGATTTCTTGCAACCATTGAAGTCCGGGACGATCACGAAGTCGGTCTTGATGCCGGAGTCGTGGATCCTTGGTGTTGGCGGACACGCTCCATGGTGCACAGTCAGGCGCTGCATGCACCACACCTGGCTTGAACTCGTGGTAGGCCTGGTTGAGGTAGCTCTGATGTTGGGCATTGTTGATGTCCCAGCCGTAGCGATAGTCAACCGGAAAGCCCACAACAAGACCTGCCATGAGCAAACACAGGCTGAGTCTTCCAGAGCCTGAACAAAGCTCCCATGCGTGCCACCGAAGACCACGTCCACGTGTCTTGGAGAACCAGCTCTTGAAGTTTCCTGGAGTCACAGGTGTGAGTCCGGATCTGGTGTAGTACTCCTCAGGAATGGCCTTGTATCTTTTGTTCAACTTGGAGACATCAAGATGATCGTGTTCTGCTGGAAGAACATCATGGACATAGCGATCACTTGATTCTTGTTCACTGGCCAAAATGGCCGATGGAGTGAAATTCGCAGGCTTGGGATTTTCACCATCATCTTCTGCTTCTTCATGAATTGTCGTGCAACTGTGAAACTGCTTCTTCTCTGCTGTCTGGGTCTGACTATCCAAAATGGAGTGCCCATCAGCAGTGTGGTCATGGCTCTCGTTGATCTGGTCGCTCTCTTCTCGCAAGGCTTGCGCCGTATGTTGTACTGCATCATGTGGATGTTGTACTGCATCAGGAAGGTTTGTCTGCTTCTGCTCATTGTCATTCGATGGTCGTTGACCTGGTAATTCTTGTGCTGCATGATGTGCGGTCATCATCTTGTCATCAGGAATGACATTGGAATGCAATGCCATGTTTTCACACCGGTCACCTTCTGCCCGTGCCTGTGGAAGTGTCCTGCCAAGGAAACAATGGCGAACTCGAGGATGGAGGTCATTCCATTAATGTTCCTCCGACGCCAGTGCAACTTTCTGACTGAAGAGGATGGCCTTGTTCTTATCCATGTAGTGAACCTTCTGGCTTTCCTTGTTGTCTGTTGGCAGGATGTAGTGTCCACTTTCGGTGAGCAAAAGTCGGAAGAATTTGATGGCCACGGTACCTTCATCTTGTCGTCCATCCATGGTCATCAAGCCATCACCATTGTCAAACCAATTGGCAAAGATGGTGGCATTGAGCTTCCGAAGTGTGGGATTTCCGACCAGTGCGGGACATAAAGATCCATCGCCGCCAAGAACCTCAGCAGTGTATGTGATAGGCATGCTGCCAACTCGAAGAGGTACAGTCACCTGTCCAAGCGTTGATGATGAAGTTCCGCTGATGCCAGAGACAGGTGTCGTCTTGTCGAACTCAAATTGTGGGGTGTCCACTACACACTCCTTCAGCAACATGCGCAATGTCTCACTGCCAATAAGGCCGCTTGCGGCACCAGGATCAATCAGAAGACCTTTTCGCTCTTGTCCGCGAACCTGGAAGTACGAGCATGCTTCACCAGCCAGAAACATGAAGTTCCATGTTGTCGTGTCAAAGTTCTTGGGCTGTTTCTGTGCTGTTGCAGGCTCTTCACTGGAGGTCGCCTCATTCGCTGATGTGGCAGCATAGGCTCGTCGAACCTTCATGATGTCATCTTCTGAGGAGGAGTGGATGATGAAGGCTTCTGGCGTGTGGCTCCGATCGATCCGATCTGTGGTGCCCAGAACTTGGATGTTGCCGTCCTGGACATTGAGAGTGCGCTCACTTGTCGGACCAGAGGTCTCAGTCATGAACCAGTGTCCTTTCTTGCTCTTGCCTTTGAAGCCACCTTTGGAGCCACCGCGATAGCCGAACTTGCCTTTGCCTTTTCCTTTCCATGAAGATGGTCGCCACGTCCAGCGTCCACGGAAGCCCTTGCCTTTGCCGCCGAACTTGCCCTTGCTCTGATAGGCATGACCTTTGCCTTTCTCTGACTTCATGAGGCAATCGCGAACTTGATGCCATTTGCTTCCGCAGTTGAAGCAACCGTCCTTGCTCTTTCCTTTGCCCTTGTAGTAGGTCTCCTGATCGGCGAAGGTCTCTTCTGTCTGTGCTGCTCCTGAAGTGGTCGGTTGTGTCTCTGCCTCATATGAAGATGTCCATGGCTCCTCATAGTTCCATGGTGTCTCATCCTCATAGAAATTCTGCCACTCATCTGCCTCTTCTGACCAGTCTTGATAGTAGGTGTCGTCAGTCTCATAGACCCATTCACCTTCTTCTGTTGCTTCATAGCCATGCCACTGATCTTGATTCCAGGAGTCATCATAGCCGTAGTTGTCATTGTAGCTCTCTTCAAGGTTGTCCTCGTAGAAGATGGTTGTATCATCTCTGTCGGATCTGTTTGGACTCATCATCCGGAGAGCCAATGTTCTTGCATCCTGGAACCTGTTGTAGTCTCCACCAACTTGTAGCTTGATGTCGTCGATCACCTTGGTGGACATGCCGCTATGCTTGAACCACAAAAAGAACTTTCCGACATCGTTCAACTGCAGTCCTGCTCGATCGGAGGCTTCATCCAGTCTGGTGTCAAACTCCACGGCATACTCAGCCAGGGACAACTTGCCGCGCTGTAAACTGAAAAACTTCTCCAGCGCTTCTGTTGCAAGATCTTGATCTTGTTGTCCAAAAGCTCGTCGCAGAGCATCCACCAAAAACTGTACCCCCGATGGAATCGCTTGCTGAATCACCGCTCCAGTTGTAGGATCCAGCACCTCATCGACCGAGAGGCGTGCCAGGGCCGCATCCCCAGTGTCAAATCGGCCATCCGGCCGTGGGATCTTCAAGGTCATGGCGACCTTTGCAGCTCGGCCATAGAGCCGACCGGCCAGGAGTGGCCCCACGCTCTCATCTTCCACGTTGCTCACGCGGTACCAAAGCCGCATCTTCTCGAAGTAGCTCCTCAGTGGATAGGAGGGGTCTCCTGGTTGCCAGCCTGGTGGAACATCTCGTCGATATTCCTGAAGAGGAATGGATCCGCCGGTAGTCGATGGAGGATTCATCATCGTGATGAGGTAGCTCGCGATCTTGGTGATCAAATAGTCGCCAAGGTCGGAGATCTCGATGATGGGGCGCAAGCGATCAGCGAAGCTGCGCAGTAGCGGGCTCGTGCGGAAGAGCTCGAGGTCGTGGTCCAGGAAGCCACGGGTGAAGAGCTCCTCCAGGTAGTCCTGGAAAAAAGGGTTGTCCAAGGCCCAAGAGGCCCAGTGGGAGGTCTAGCCTCCTGCAGTCTTCTCCTCGAAGATCAGCTCCAAAGGTCCTAGATCAGGGACCTGGCCGATTCAACGGCCAGCAGCCAACGCGACAGCGACGAAGAAGCGTCGCCTATGGCGGGATGCCTCACACAGGCTCCGGTGCCAAACTCGCTTTTACTCGACCCAAGGCGCCTGCGGATCATTCGAAAAACTTCACTGATAGAGACTGTTGATGTCCCTTTCACCTTTCCGCTGCATCTCCCAAAATCTCTCCAACTCGCTGGAAATTCCATGAAACCATCAAAACATGCAAAGTATATGTAATTGGACGCGAACCGAACGTAGCTCCTAGAAGCTACTATAAGGGCATCGCTACTAGGAGCAAGGACGCTACGTTCGGGGCTCCTGGCCTTACTACCTAGGAGCAAGAAGCTACTATAGTAGCAAAGGGCATCGCTACTTGAAGGATTCGAGGCTCCGTCGTGGCTCCCACGCCCGCAGGTGGGTGCCCGGACGGTCACGACCAAGGTGGCCGTGACGAAGCGTACCAAGACCTGGGAAGATGAGGGCCGCTGCGTCCTTTTAGGGCCTTGCGGGTGGAACCGCACAGACCTACCGTGCTATGATCATGGACCTATAGGGAGAAGAACCATGAAAAACCCTCTTTTTGGAACCCACTGTGCCTGGCCACCGATGTCCTCCTCCTGCAGAACCCCTCCTCCGCTTGGCCATCTCCCAAACCGCCCTTGAGCGCCCGGGCCGGTGGGGTGGCGCCGACGAAGTCCTGACCGTTGATGGCCACCTGGCGGACGAGCTTGGCCAGCGAGCGAGCAGCGAGGTGGAGGCGGAGGGCGGGAGATCGGGTTCCGCTTCTCGTTTTTGGCAGCAAAGAAAGACCAAAGGTCTCATGGTTTGATCAGGGTTTGGTAGAGATGATTTCTGCTAAATCTGAGATCATCTTTATTGTTTGACGGTGATTTGCTGTGAGCCCTGAGGTGTAAATCCTTCGTGTCGAAAGTGTCGAGAAATTCAGCACAGCTCTCCTAGGACCTTCTTGTTGATATGTATCCAAGATTGCAATCTGGGATGGCCACACTTCATGTTCCTCAGTTGCACTCATTTCAGGACAGCGACCTCAGGAAGGATAGGAAGGTAGACTAAGTCATGATGGAGTGTGGAGATTAAGTGGACAAACAAAATTGCATCTGCCAGGACCTTCGACCGAACTTGAGACCTCGGCGGGTCGGTCACGGAATAGACCCTCGGTCACTTGGCCGCTCGAGACTCAAGACTCCAAAGAGGTCACGAACTGAAGGTATTGGTGCAATCCACCCTGTCCAACTCTTTTGAATTGGAAGTCCACTAAAGATCGCAAGCAAAAACGCTAAGAGAGCTTCCCATGCTAAGCACCATCGAAGGTCACCACCCTCTGAAGAGAAAAGCTTCAGTCTGAGAAATCTGAGAAACTTGCTAGACTTCCAGGGACCAGTAAAAAAACAACACCTGCACATTGCATTTGGGATGTGGAAGACGAGTGTCAAATCGCAAAGGCTCGAGACCATCTCAAGACCGGGGGAACTCCAGCGGCACTTGGACACTGCGGCAAAATACGAGCGTTTTTTTTTTTTTTTTTTCAAAACTGCCGCGTTTTCGCTGCGACCTCAACTTCATAAGTGATGCCTTGCGGTGAAGCTTCCTCAGAGAACTAGTCTGAAAACTTTTGGCTCTAAGTGCGCTGCAGCAAATGCGAGAGGTTTCTGGCGGTTTTCTGGAATGTCCATGTTCCCGCCGCTGCACCGTGCACCCGATGATTTTCTCCAGAACAGAAGGGTCTCACAGCTCCCGCAATCTCCGAATTCCATGGTGCAACTGCTTTTATACTTTTTGCAGTAGGCTGGAGGCCATCGCTCACGCTCTCTCTCTCTCTCTCTCTCTCTCGGGGCGCCGGCCAAGTGAAAGCCGGTGGGAGGGACATGGCAAAGGAGGGTGTAGTTCGTGCCAATCACCTGGCTCCATTTTCGCTGATTCCCTGCCCGCCTGGCTCCGACCCAACCCGGACCCTGCTCCGGGTCAGTCAGTGGCCCTGCCCCGGTGAGGAAGGTCACATGAAATCTTTGGAAGACGCTCTTCCTCTACATGGCCTGCTGGAAGACAAGTCTTCTTTCAGACACCAAGAACATCTTCTTTTTGGATGTGACCGGTGCCAACCGCAAGGAGGTTCCGAACTGAGGTGAACTGAGACCAGGCAGCGTTCCACTGCCCACCCAGGGTGGAGGGTGTTACCAGTAGCAAGTCTGTAGAATTGGTTGCAGGGTGGATCGAACCACAGCAGTCGAGTGTTGCGGTTGTTTCGGTTGCTTGGAGATCATTTTTTTCGTGCGATGGTGAGACTGGTTCCATCTGGTTCCTCACCGCGGGGTCCAGGGTGTACTTTTCCTGGCTAGCTTTGGCAAATCGCAAGCATTCATACAAACATGAAAACCACAGACCTGCGATCTGCACGCTGTTCATGTCTTCTTCATTCGCTCAACGTCGCGAAATCGCTCTCCTCACCCAACCGCCCACCGTCCCAACCGTCCCAACCGTCCCAACCGTCGCTCCGTCTGTGCCAGGCTTTGGCCGCCTCGGCGGGTCCCAGGATGCGGCCGCCCAGGCGGCACATGGCCGTGGAGGACGGGAGGAAGTTCTCGCCCGAGATGAACAGCCGAAAGCCTGGAGGACGTTGGGTTCTGATGGAAAGGCCGAATTCTCAAAGTGTGTAACAGCTTGAGATCCAATTATTAAAAGTAAAGCTAGGAGTGGATGATCTTTTGGTTCTTGTAAAGTTGCCCAACAAGGCACTCGACTGGAGAAGGTTCTCATATCTCATCTCAGCTTGAGCAATACCCTTCGCACTCTTAGCCGCCCTGCTGTGCCTTCAGCCTGTTGCTTCTCATCAAACTCCACCGGAAAGACCCGCATGATCTTCCACGACCTGGACACGAGCTCGGCCCAAGGATGGTCGTCATGCAGTGGTCAGAGTCTGCTGGTTGTGTCGTCGGCTTTCTTTTTCTCTCGGATTCGGAAAGATGATACATGGCTACATGCAGCTGGGGCAGTGGCTCGGTGTAGTCGAACTTGGCATAGGGAGGACTTTGGCAGCGGCCATCTGCCTGGAGAGGATAGAAGTTTCTGCATCGCACCACGAGCCACTCCCGTTTTTCCACATGATCGATCTTCTTTTTCTGTGTCATCACTGATTCACTGTCTCTGGAAGACGGTCTGCACATCCTTTCCTCCCTGGAGACCCAGGTTCAGTAAACCACGATTTCGGCCCCTCTGCCGGGTCCCGCCCGCACAAGCGGGGGTCCGGGTCGGTGGGATGTCCCAGTCCCAGGACGAGCCTGCGCCACGCCAATACTCACTTGAGCAGGGCTTTGTGGCCAAGGTGGTGTTCGACATTGGTAGAGCCTGTTCGAAAACGATGGCATGTTCGGAGTTGTGCGACCATGCTGTGGAGAAACGGGGTCAGATGGGACAGCCCAGTGAATCACTCACAAAGTCTAAAAAGCTCGGCCATTGAACTCCTGCATGGAGAAAACATGAGAAAAACATGAGACAACTCAATTAAGGCAAGCTTGCAGCTTGCCAATGGGGGCCGAGTACGCATGTAGAAGTACGTTTAGTTTTTGTACTAGAACATCCTAGCGGGATCAGGATTTGCAGTTCTGTTCGGTCGTCCTGGCCGAGTCCACTCGGCGTTCCAGGTGTTGGGAAGTTTTTAGATGGGGTTCTTTTGGAGAAAACCGACAAAAACATCCTTGCCTCCCAGCTTGGTCTTTTTCCCTCTGTGAACACCAAGGGGGGGGCGGACTCGAGTTCCGTTCCCCGAACCTCGACCCGACCGGTCCAGGTGGCCCCCACTCATCAGAGATCCGTGTCGCTGGCACGATGGTGGCCGGCGGCCCACCGAAGCAACAGCTCACCACCTGCGACGTGGAAGGCAACGAGTTACGACCCGAAGAACGAGGTTGGCCCTGGCTGGTGTGGCCGTGGCTGGCGGCGCGCTTACTGGTTGACAGTGGTGGACGGTCCTTCTTCCTGCCTTTCAGCACTTCTGCACCATGAGATGGATGACTCAAGATACGAAAAGTGCAATTGGTAGCCCTCTAATTAACCGAAAAGTGCCATGAAGATTGGCGCATTCACGTGGAATGGAAGCAAGCCTCGTGTACTAAGCTGCTATCTACGAACAGCAGCAAAAGAATACACCCAATTGCATCCGACACAAAACCATGATGCTTCTCCGGCACCCAACTCCATGGAACTGGCGAGAAAAACTTTAACTTGCATCCTGAAATCACATCATCCATGTCATCCATCGCCTGCGACAGCTCCAAGTTTGTGATCTCCTCCCGTGGCACATGGACCTTAAGCTGAGGTTGCCAAAGGCCACAACTCATCCGTCAGGCAGAATTTCAGTGTACCACTTGACCAACTGGGCGCATGTCATGCCTTGTCAACAAAGAGTTCCCAGAGTGTCCACCCCTCTTACCATCAATCAACTTTATATCATATATCCCACGAACACACACAGTTGCTTCTGATATGGCACTTGTCCATTTGCCGCCTCACCCACGCTCCCACGCCCCTCTTGCCGCCAGCGGGCGTCCAACAGCGTGCCGCCGCGCCGCGATCCGAAGCTGGGATAAATGCGACCTGCTTCCGCGGAGATGGTTGGTCGAGCTTCCGCGGAACCGCTCGAAGCTCGGTGTTGCAGAATCGTGATGATACATGGAGTTAAATGATACATGGAGTTTATGATTAAAGGATACATGGAGCCTGGAGTTTATTGGATTTGATAATTTTATATAAATTCATGGCCATTCATGGCACATGTCTCCGCTATCGATCCCCTACATAGTGTCGAACACATCACCGTACCTGAGGTTCGGTTTCTCACACGGATCCGGGAAGAGGAACGCATCCATCGGTCCATCGGTCCGTTGAATGGGCCCGACCAGCGACCGGCAGCGACTCGATCGCTGTGTCTCGCTACGGGTGTTTTCCTCGAGCCAAGGGCCAAGCAACCATCTCGATCAGTGGCAGCGATCCAATTCCAACATGTTCAAACAACATGATGTTGTTTGATTGTACTCCCTAGGGCTCCAACCACCTCCTGAGAAGATGGTTGGGGTGGATTTGGAGGGTCTAACCACCTTCTGAGGAGATGGTTGGAGCCCTAGGGACTATAAAGCCAAACGCAACTGTGTAAACAGCACTACTCCAATTTGCAGTCCTCGCAACTACGGGCCTCGCAACTCCTTGACGAAGTTGAAGTATGCCGTGCTGGGCCTGGTCGGTCCAATTGAGAAACTGTGTGTCATTTGCAATCAGAAAGGAACCAATTTCAGTCTCATGACTAGCACTCCACCAAACCACCAGCTTGTGTTCATGGCTGGTTCAACAAATAACCACTTGAGCCGTGTCAAAAGCCTGGCTTTGAACATGCAAAACACAAGAACCACCGCACTGTTTTGTTTATCAAAATCTTTCACACTACGCTGCACAGTCTCATGTCCACTTGTCCGCCGGGCACCCTACCTCGCAAAGTATGCCTACGAGACATCCATAATTACTGTATAATATCGTACCTTAGTTTTGTGGTAAATGTTTTTCCCTCAAAAACAACACGTCTTACTGGCCAGGTCAGTCACAGGTCCATGAGAGAAGATTCTCCAACAACATGCAATATCTACAGGGATTTCTGACATTTCGGAGGATTCAGTGAACAATCTACACTCGCTGGTAAAATCAGGGTGGAAGTAGGTGGCATTGCCCCGTTAGGATGCCCCCTTTACTGCACTTTTTCCACTTCAATGCATACCTGCAGAAAGTACCTGCACTTCATGGCACCTTAGACCATCACATGACCCAATCCCGAACGTTCCGAAACCGAAGACCGAGGTCCGACAACCGGGTCGACTGAGTCGACATGTCGTGTGAGTCGACTCCAAAACGGATCAACCACCTGCGACCGGACTCGTTTCCCGAGTGACCTAGCTAGCTGGACACAAGCACCAGAGTGGTGCTGTGGAGGTGCCCCCCCCAAATCAGCTCGCAGCTCCCGTTTTGGATCATGACTGAGTCCAAAACTGACATGAGAGACTGAGAGACTTAGATGTTTTACGATGTCACAGAACCACCTCGGCCGTTTTGGGGGATAAGTTTGCCACGCTCACACCTCTTGTTGGTGGATGTCGTGTGAGCCTGATCTGAGGCCTCTCCATGAAACAAAGAACATACAAGAGATTCGTTCTGAGACCCCCGTCGTCCAATCAGCTCCGCCGTTGATGGAGATAGTCACCGGCACTGTCCTGTGGGAGAATCAAGATAGGGCATGGATATCATCCAGGTTGAAGTTTCCTGACTCTGTCATTCAGGTTTGCTGACTCTGTCTTCCGCCCCGATGGGATACGATTAGACTTTATCCATCTTCATGAAATCAAAGCTGTGTCAAACAATGTTTTACATGTTCTCAGGAGAATGAGGGTGATATAGGGTGATTAATGTGATTTATATTTGAGAGGGATCAACTCAAAGCATTTAGATGGCAGCTGATCATACACGTTCACCACTGAGTTGCAGCACAAGGAATGCATCTGGCTTCTTAGAAACAGGGTGAGGGAATCTAGCCTGTTATATGCATGCATGTATATACTTTAATTTGGGAAACACACTGCCAATTCATTTTCGCAGCGCTTGGGGGTTCGATGATGTCCGAAGGTTTAATTAGTTGCAAATCTCCTCATGTTGAGACTCTCACTCTTGTCATGTGACGGTAGCTCAAAAGCTGCCATCTAGCAGAGCTTGGTAAACATACTCCCCCAAACAAGCTGGATCCTCAGTCCAAAGGACACTGGTCAACAAAAAGGAGATCATGCACATCTCACATTTCTCTCTCTCTCTCTCTTTCTGCCCAACGGTGAAACACAATTAAGACGGAGCTTCAACGCCCCCACGAGGCACCGCGTGGGCAGGTCGGCGGAGCTGCGCGCGGCACGACGGCACGTACTGATGGAGTCCACGTGACCGAGGATCTGTGGAGACACCTGGGAGACGAGGGGAATGACTCCAGACCCAGACCTGGAAAGCACATGGGGTAGGACCCATGGAACATGACCTTGGACCCTGGACCTCCAGGACTGGGGTGGGGACCATGGACAGTCACCCTGGGAAATCTGGGTCGACCTCTTTTCGCGGTGATGAATGGACACCCTTTCCTCCGTGGTAGTACGTACATGACTCATGACATGAACACTCTTCCAGCTCTTCATGGTCTCCTATTTTTGTACTCGGCACTCAGCTCGAGTTGAACATCGCCGACTCGCCGGTACCGACCGAGCGAACCGCGAGCTCGAAAAACGGCGAGCTCGGACCGTTCAGCTGTGGAGATCGTCGTCTTCGCTGCCAGACTGGAATGCAAACCATGACACCTCTGAAATCCTCTGAACAAAAACAACACAAACAGCACAATCTCACAAAGTCTCACAAACAGAAGATCAAGACGTGTAGAAGCTTCACAGCTTCGACCGCGGTCGAGGAGTCTCATCTGGGAGAAGCCATGCTTCCGACGGAGCCAAGAAGCGCAAGTGATCTCATCTCGGCTGAGCCATCTCCCAGGAGTCACAGAGCTTGAACGACCTTCACCTGAGAAACGTGCGCTACGCCGCTACGCTCGTTCACATCAGAACGCTGCGAGGTGTGTATTTTGGTCCCCTGCGAGCTTGCAAGAACTGAGTTAGTGCAGAAACATGGAATTCAGAAGTCTTCGAGGTGATGCCCAGGCATCACCAAACAGGCTCATTACTATCCTTTAGTGTGAGAATTTGTTTGACGACATTCAAATTAAAGTTCAGTCTTCGCTACGAGTTCATCCTTTATTGTACAATACAATTTATAATTACTCTTCAGAGTTTAACAAAAAACGTCTCTTAAGGTTCTGCTGCTCTCATCTGCGGTCGGGCAAGCTCCAAATAATATCCGGAGGGACCACCACTTGGATTTGCGGAAACCGATGGTATCCGCTTTCGATGTCTTTCGTCGATCGGTGGATCCAAAGATATCTGTACCCTGGGATTCCACCCACCATGTCTTAAATGCTCTTTACCAAACAACAAGAAGGGTTTTACTAAAGGATTTTAGACTATCAATATCAACGTCAAACGTGGTCAACAGTTCTTTTCAGGGTAAAACTGAAGGGCGGGCTGTAGTATCGGCACCCTCTGTACAAGTCAAGTGTGAGAACTTCTCGGTTCCAAACAGTATCCCTTTCAGGGGCCACAACAAGGAACCTGCCACCTGCCAGCCCGGGCCCCCTCCCTCCGCCTCTATCCCACCTTGGCTGCCGGGCCGAAACGGCAAAGCAAGCCACCCAAACGCGCCTGTGGAAAGTAGCGTCCATAGAGGGTGACCTCATTCACTCACGACCGAGGACGGCGTCGGTGGAGTCGTCATGGGATCAGATCTACACAGACCATGAAAGGGAGAATCATACGTATACGTGGGATGGAATGGGATGACCCTGAAGACTTATTTTGATCATGTTCGATCCGAAGACAGAGTACAAGAATTTCCTTTGGGTAAACTTGAAGACCCAAACAGGGAGACACAAGAAGAGACGTGACATGGAAGAGACATCTCATCTATCCACATTATGATGTTGTCCATGTATATAGAGTTGTAGCCCATGCAGGGTAGTCCATCAAATGAAGAACATGGTACACCCGTTTACTTCTGGAAGGCCTTCCATTCAACTCATCTCAAGACCTTTGGCTTTCACCGGGCTTCACACATTGGTGCCACCAGTGGAGGGTCCAGTGCGCGGAGAGATGCTGTCCACATGAGGCTGCCTGGTGCCACGTCGTTCTTGGGGCACAGAGATGTGTTCCAAGGCCATGATGTGCACATCATGGCACAAAAAAGAAATCCAAGTCCGATCGATTTTGGGACTCAGTTTCATAATTTAGAATTGGATAGGGACATGTTTTGTTTACGTTTTCTTCACAGAACCAGCTGCACTGAGGCAGTCGAACAACAAGATCTGAGGTCCATGATGGTCCATGATGGTGGCTCGTTCAACCGGGAATGGTGCCAAACTGCCAGCCTGACGTAGGTGAAGCGATGCTGGCCTCGACGGCAAGACGAGGTGGGGTCCCCAAGAACGCCGAATCCTCGTATTAGACAGCAATATATTGACAACACTTAAACATAATGATGGTTTTGTTTGTTCCATTCAGAGCCGTGCTGACAAAGCCAACCATCCATCTATGGAATATTGACCTACATTGACCCTTAAAACAACATATATAAAACTGAAAATTGACAACCCTGCATGCAACCGGATGCCCCACTTGCGAGAACACAATAAAGGAGCCACCCCAAAACACCGCCTTGGAGTCCTAGAACTGACCTTTATTTTGTACCAGCTAAGACATGGTCTTTTCCAAACCAAAGGTCGCGTCCTCTTTTTTCTGGGAGCACGACAAGGTTCATATTCGTAGAAGCTGGTGGCATTCGAGGGAATCACGCGCACACCTGAGCCACGGTGGTATTTGCGCGACATATGGCACCGTGTGACGGTGGAAAGCGCCACGTGACCGGCGGGTTCAAAGCAGTTCCAGTCCAGGTGTCTTTGGCTGCTTCGCTCACAGTCCTCGAACGTCGTTCGCCTGAAGCATATCCCCCTGCCAAAACATGCAACAACACGGATGGACCGACATCGAAGTTGGTGTGGGGAGATCGTGCATGCCCAAGTGAAGAAGGATCACTTTTGGCATCCCTTCGTCCCCGGGAACGCGACCAGAGTCGGAACTCAGGAGGTTGGATGAACTGTGGGTCCCTGTGGATCAAGAATGTGAACTGCAGTCTAGAGCACATTCAAAAGCTCTGAGTCTGGTTGATTAAACAAAAGAGGAACCATAGACTTGTGGATGTTCTCCATCTACGACCATAATTTCAGATTTCAACACCCCAAGTCACACTTATCGGGGAAACATATATCTGAACATACAACACTATATTTGAGCCATCTGAAGCCTTACTAAAGTCTCTCACCTGAGGTTCTCTGGGTTTCTTTGGTTAATCCACATCACCCACATTGGTCCTGTGCTGCTTGAAACCATGGCACACACGGGGAAGCTGCCCGCCAGAATGGGATCCTCATCACTGTCACAAAAGCCCCAATCTGCTCCTTGACCTCATAGCGACGTGGCATCATGAGCATGATGTGGCAAACTACGCACATGTTGCGTAATGGACGTCTCTATGTATTTGGATTCTTTTTGTATATGGGAAATTAGGGGAAGTATCCCTTGCGAATGGAGGGGGCGAAGGGACAATCTTTTGAGTTGGTTTGACTCCATCTGGTTGCCAGTTGTTTTTGGCGGGCTCTGCAAATATGTCGATATCTATGGGACTGAAAAATGGATCCACTGCTTTCCCCAAGATGTTAACTGCAGAACCCACTTATCCACTCAAAGTCCCTGAGTCCAGGCTGCTGTTGGGTAAGTTGTAATATGTAGTAAATTAAACCTATATATCTTGTTATATGACAAAATGTGACAAAATAAGGGTCGAAGAGAAGACTTGCTGATGACTAGAGGCAAAGTCGTTTGGGCTGATGTGCCAGCATCTTGGGTTGCCCAAATCGCTGCCCAGCCGCAGAAGGTGGTGATTCCAAAAGAAATTTACAGAAACCATGAATAACCTCATACTATCCGCAAGCAGGCCATTGACGTATCATAATTGAATTGGATGATTGAGCTTCCTATAGCTGCTTCTAACTGGAGTCAAAGTACATTATAACTTATAAAGTACTTTGGGGTCCAGGAATATCCATTATCGAAAGGCTTCCCCAAAGGCTTGATGCTTTGCCTTCGCAACTCCGCGCTGAGTGCGAGACATAAGGGTTGCTCCACGGAGCACCACAGCCTGCCACATCGCATCATGCACATGCACAAATGCGCGCGAGCGCGTGCGCGCATGTGCGTTGAAGCTCACCTTCCAGTGAAAGGCCCCATGGTCGCTTCGGTTTCGTGGAACTCTGAACGATCTATGAGACTGTAGATTTGAAGGACGCTCACGTATCGGACAAGATCAGAAAAATGCCGATTGAATTGCAGGAATGGCCAAGCTTGCCCATTGAACGCATCGATCCCTCAATATCCAGAATCTGGTGGAATACACAGCATTTCTTTTTTTTTTTTCTTCGTCTTCCGGCGTCTGCGGATCAAACCATCAGCTCCAACGATTCTGCGCTGGTGAGGTGAGCGTCGATCGGTGCGAAGTCAATCCAGCTGTAATTCCTTGGGGATCTGTGTCAGACGGGTCTCATGGTGTCAGGATGTGTCAGGCATGGAATAGTGGCATTCCATGTGGGATGAAATGAAGCAACCTGTTTTCCGTTCTCTTCGATCATTATAACAATATATGGGAGTTGATCTAAATTCCTTTATCCGGGATCCGTCATTTTCGCCAAAAAAAAATTACTTTCGCCAAACTTTCGCCTTCCTGCGTTTTATCTTTCGCCGAAGTACGTTGTATTTATGTGAACCATGTATGTTGTGTTTTGTTCACGTCAATGGCTTCTTCTTTACTGGCAAACACAAAATAGAAACTTCACTGTTTGTCAGCATGTGTCTTCTACTTAACTGTTGACACCCAGTACGTCTCTTTTGTTTCTCCTGGGTGTCAGCAAGAATCAAAATTGCAAGAATCACTGTAGTAGCCGGTCACTCAAACTTACTCATAATGGGCTGGGGGTCAGATGTGGCAGGGTGAACTTTCGCCAATCTTGAGCTGAACTTTCGCCAAACTTTCGCCTTTTGCGGGGTAGAGTTTTGTGGCAAAGCCACCCCCCAAAGCAGGAGCAGGAATAGTAGTAGTAGTAGTAGTAGTAGTAGTAGTGGTAGTGGTAGTGGTAGTGGTAGTGGTAGTGGTAGTGGTCGTGGTCGTGGTCGTGGTCGTGGTCGTGGTCGTGGTCGTGGTCGTGGTCGTGGTCGTGGTGGTGGTAGTGGTAGTGGTAGTGGTAGTCGTAGTCGTAGTAGTAGTAGTAGTAGCAGCCGCAGCAGCAGCAGGTTATCTAACTTCCACAGCTTATCTAGCTTCTGAGTCACTGCCACCAGCTGTTCAGAAAGCAAATGAACATTCATACAAAAGTACATATTTAATCTTTCGCCAGATCTTTCGCCAAAAAAAAAATTACTTTCGCCAACTCGAGAAAAAACTTTTGCCAAATGAGATTTTGATATGTTCCGGGTCATCGTCATACACACTGCTGACTAGGACCTTTAGATCGACAACCATATATTACATCAGTTTCGATAGGTCCCAGTGGGACCGGACGAGCCCTTTCCTTTTTGGGTTTCCTTTTGACTGAGATCACTTCCTTTGAAGCAACGTTGGACAGGGATCTTGATCGACGTGTTCATAGGGATAGAGGGCGGAACATGGCAAGCCTTCCGAAACACCCGCCAATCAATGCGGAACATGGCACGGACAGCCTGGTGAACCTTGGAAACCAAAAGCCAGTCAACTTAACTCGAGAAAACTCCTATAGGTACCATCCGCAGTTGACCCCTTCTGGGACATAAGCAACAGGAAGGGACATGCTCAGAGGTGCCTCTGAGCAGGCATTGGAACTGTTCGGAGTTCCATGGTTTATGACTTTCTGCACATTGACTCGCACACACCCCAAGGAACCTTCGCCCCTCAAGCATTCGACGCTGCGGAAGGTTCCCCTCCGGACCAGCCGCGCAGCAGGCTGTCAGCACACAGCCCCTCCTCCATCCACCTGCGAGCGTCCAACGAAGCGGATGCCCCAAATGTGGCGAGGAGTGCCACTGCCCCGTCCACTCGAAGGGCGCTTGCTGGTCCGCCGTAGGACCACTCACCGCGCTGAAGCGGAGCTGAAGGCACTCCGCGGCGCGGCAGAGCTTGGCGTCGGTGTTGCCGAAGGGTTTCCGCACCTGGCGAGGCGGGCGGAGGCCGGGAGGGCAGAAAATGAAAGGTTTGTTCAGACCCCGGGCCACCTTCCCCAGACACTCCATGGGACTGCCATATATGCCTACATTGACCCCCAAAACCACCTTGACTGATCGGCAGATATGGTAAGATTGATGGTTTTGGAGATCCCACGGTAGGGGAGCAAGTTGAAGCCAGGACCGGACATACCACCCGGAGCTTGCAGGACTGAGAGCTCCAACAACGGACAAGCAGAACAAGCACGAAACGCATGGAACGAATGGTGAACATCTTCAGGAAGACATGGGTCATGAGGTCATGGCTTTCCTATAGTCAAAACGTCCTGAGCCGGGCATCTCTTTCGATCAAGGTCACACGAAACGTCCTTCGGACTTTGTTCCATGGTCTCTCCACGGTTCTGTTTCCACTCCTCCAGCTTGGAAGATTCCTCGAACTGCCCACACCGGTTGACACGCGAAGAAACGTCTTGTTGAAGGAGATGTTCACTATATAAGCGCCACCATTTAAAGGGCTCTCGAAGGTTCAAAGAATGACGATGTTTCCATCGGTCCAGGTGTTGATATGTTCCATGCTCTATCAGCCTCCACTTCAAGCAAACACACCATGTTGAACAACCAGGAAAAAAATGAACAAAGGAAAGCCATTAGGTTGGAGGCCATCGCTGCACCTCTCCACCCTCACAGCACCAGGGCCTGAGGCCAGGGATGCAGGTCGTAGCGTGCCGCGATGGCATTCTCCGGCGCGTTCGGCTCCTTAGGGCCTTCGTAGCCATGCGCTGACAAGGGGTCGTGCTGCCAGTCGTTGTAGCGAAGCAGGTGCTGCACTGTTGCAAAGTCCTGAGGATGTTGGGCGGTTTTCTGAAAACAAAGGAGCCCAACTTGCAGGACGTTTGGCAGTGATGCAGTAAGAAAAAAACACCACACGAGATCTACTCGTGACCCGAGATGACCCGAGTTCCTACATGATCTGTGGCAGAGTTCCTCGAATTTTCGGAGGGTGCTTGCTCCACCCATCACCCCCGTGCATCTCCCTGCCTACGGCAACCCGGATTTCAGGCGGTCATAGTCAAGATTTGTGACACAGAACAGAAACAATAGCTTTGATTGATGGAATCTTAATTGAAACATCTGTATTGATTGAACCTCTGTTGTCCAAGAAATGTTCTTGAACTTCAAACAATCAGTTTGGGATCCATTGGCACCATTCATCAACCCGAACAAAAGCAACCGTGGCCTTAAATTGTCAAACTAGTACCCTGTTCACAGCCTGTTCATGAACAAATGGCTGGACTGTTGGGCCTTCATTTCTCTTGTCCCCAATGTTATTCCTTCATAGCATCTTGAAGGCTCGAGCAACTTCGAACGTCTTTGAGGTCTAAGAAAGCAACACCTTTTCCCCAAAACACCTATCAAAACCTGCTAACTTGCGGAATCAATTACCCAGCACAATTTCTGGATTTGAGCTGTTGAAGTCTACTTGGGGCTCATGGTCTCGACGTGTCTCGACGTGTCTCGCGAGACTCGCATCGAGAAGCAGTGGCACGGCCCACGTCGCGGGCAAAGATCTTCGCGCGAGGGTTCAGGGTGTAGGAATAAGCATCTCCAAAGCGTTTCTCCATGTCCTGTTGGTGGAATCGTGGCCCAACATCACTTGTGCGGATCCATTTTCACAGTTTGGCTCAGTTTTTCAACTGCTTCAGACTCATGTCCAAGCAAAGATGTCCAAACAAACCTTTCAAACAGCGCCTACAGGTGCGACTTCATTGTTTGGTCATAGTGACTTTTGGAAGTGAATGAAGGTCCTTTGATTTTACCCGACCAACACCCCAAAAAGTCAGTGAGTCAGTGAAGACTGGAACGCGAGTCATCAATGGGCTGGGAACACAGGCCTCTGTCTCTATAACTTGGAACCTTGAGTCAGCAAAGCACCTCTCCAAAACCTTAAGTCTCATGGAGCCTTGACAAAACACCCTTGATTAGTGGTCTTTAAGAACTCCCACTATACCCGTTTCCAGATCTCAAAAACTACGCGTGTGCTCTCAGAACACGCAAATTATGTTTGATTAGTATATATTTTACTATATTGGGCGATATTGGATCCGGATATATCCTATTCCGTGTAACAGTGGATGATGATGGATAGCAAAGGACTTACTATGGACTTATTCTAAAATAGTGACAATGGTCTACCGACTGTTACATGGTTTCTCACCTCCTACGATTGCATCTCTCTTCTTTCTGCGGTCTCTCCTCAGCGCCAGAGACCTCACGGATCTTTTGGAAGAAGGGTGAGTTGTAGGAGACCCAGAATCCTTGCGCCCGCCTGGTGAGTTGTTGGCTGCGCGGCGCTGCGTGCTTCTGTTGTTTTTCAGACCACGGACTCGTCCCAGAGTCCGGTGGACGCCGAGGGGTGAGAGTAGGTGAGAGTAGGTCCGAGGGCTTCGTCTGACCTCAAAAGAAACCACAAAGCAGACCTTGTTCAGATCTGAAAGGTTCAGATCTGGGCACGTTCTGGCACGATGTAATGTAAACAAACAACAATACTGTTATACAATGTTATATATGATTTGTTTAATGTCCCGTTCAAAAAACACGAGCTGAAGCTGGAGTTCTGTTCAATCGATCTTCTAGCAGGTGTCAGGACCGCATTTGGCGACCCTGAAGAGTAATGAGTAATGTAGACTCGTGATTCATAAACCGTTACCATTGGATTGAACAACCGCATCATACGGTGGGGTATTAATTGTGGATGACCAATCTGAGATCTTCGAGGGTGTCTTTGTGGGTGAAGTGTTTGATGAAACATGCCTACATTAGAGATTCGCATAGATTCGCCCTGCCAACGGTCATTCTAAAAGTAAAGGATCCTTTCAACATCTTTTCAATACTTCAGGCCGTCATGGTACGCATGGTTTTCGGCTTTCCCTGTACTCCAAAAGGGTCAAGCAT